ATACAGGGGACCCCAAAACAGGGTGGGGCTGTCCAAACGGTCTCCATCCTCTCCCCAGCCTCCGCCCCTCTGTCTGTCTCTCTGCCTCTGTCCGTGTCTGCCTCTCTCTCTCTCTCCTCTCCTCTGTGTGTGCATGTCTCTGTCCGTCTGTCTGTCTGCCCCTCTCTCCTCTCCTCTGTGTGCGCGTGTGTCTCTCTCTGTCTCTGGCTTTTGCACTTTCTCTCAGGCCCCTCCCACCCTCCACCACCAACAGCGACAATCTGGAAGAAATTACTCTTCCAAGCGGCCAGACTTGCCCAGTTTCAGGAAATTCCAGGCTGGGCAGGGGGCGGGGCCGGGCTGGGGGCGCGTCCTGTCCGTCCTCCACCCCCGCGGCCTGTCCTCCCCGCACAGCCGGCCCACGTTCCGCCCGGAGGGGCCCCTGCTGGTCCTCCGTGCTCTCTGGGCCTCTAAACCCCGCAGGCAACCTTTGGGGGAGCAGGAGGCTGGGAGGGGCCTGAGCCTTAACCCTCCGACCTGGCGACCGGACCGCGATTCCGCGGGAGCTTGGCTCGGACCATGGCCCCTGAGAGGGGCTGACACTTCAGGCCGCGGTGCAGGTAGAGGGGGGACCCGATAGCTGACGGCCAGGGTTGGGCCTGCACCCCACGGTCCGAGGGAGGGGCGCTGGGGGTCGGGACCCCAGGGTCTCAGGGAGGAGGGGCCGGGGGTCGGGACCCCAGGGTCCGAGGGAGGGGGCGCTGGGGGTCGGGACCCCAGGGTCCGGGGGAGGAGGGACGGGGTCGGGACCCCAGGGTCCGAGGGAGGAGGGACGGGGTGGGGACCCGGGGTCTGGAGGATTTAGGGGGCGGATTTAGGGACCCCCGGATCTGAGGGAGGAGCGGGCTGGGCCCCAGGGCTCCTGGAGGCAGAGAGCGAGGAGGGAGCGGGCCGTGTGGACCCCTGGGGCCCGGGGCGGCCTGGGCGCGGGGTCCCGCTCCGGGTTCCGCATGGCACCTCCTTTGCCAGGTAGCTCCCGCCCCGAGGAAGAAGGAAGAAGGCGCGAGTCCGGGACCCAGGGCGGAGGTCAGCGGGGGCCGGAGCCTGCGGGCGCGCCTGCCCCACCCGGGAGGCCCACGAGGTGAGCGGCGGCGGTGGGCCGG